ACGCCAGCACAACCCGGCGCGGAGCAGCAGCAACGGCAACAGCAGCGGCGAGCACTCTCCTATCCCCTCAAACACGCCTTGTGAGTCCGTCTTCTAATTTCGTCGTATAATGCCTCAATAACTCCGCTAAAATGTTGAGGTGTAGCGATCTGCTGCCCGTGCATGCTGAGGCTGTCAGCAGGAGCAGTAGCAGCAGCAGCAGCCGCTGCTACTGCTGCAACTGGCGCCGGCGGTCCTGCTGCTGCCTCGATCTGATGGGTTGCCGTGCCTGGTTCAGCTGTCTGCATTTTTGTTTCGCTTCATGAATTTTTCGTAAACAAACAGCAGCAGCTGCTGCTGTCGGGCCTCTGCTGCTGTTGCAGTAGCAGCAGCGGGAACAGCAGGAGCAGCAGCAGCAGCAACTCAATGTTTCGCATCGTGTTTGCAACTTGGGTGCGCCTCATTTGGCTTGTTTTGCTTTTTATTATCCCATATTGACCAGAGCGAGACGACAGAGGGCTCCCGCTCTTCAGCTGCAGCAGGCGCAGCTGCAAGAGCAGCTCCAGCAGCAACTGCAGCAGCAACTGCAGAGTGGCCAATGACTTGCCACCGATGCCGGCAGCTGGATTCATTTTTTCGGTTTCTTTTCTCGCCTGTACGCCATACAGGGTCAGCTGCAGAGAGAGCAAAANGCTGGATTCATTTTTTCGGTTTCTTTTCTCGCCTGTACGCCATACAGGGTCAGCTGCAGAGAGAGCAAAACCAGCAGCAGAAACCTCAGCAGCTGTTGCAGCAGCAGCAGCAGCAGCAGCTGCAGCAGCTGCTGCAGCAGCAGCTGCAGCAGCAGCTGCAGCAGGAAAAATACACACACGCACCCTTTAAAGAGCTGCTCACGGAATACGGGACGCCTGCCGGCGAACTGGCCCGAGTGAAGGCTCAGAGACAGTAGAGGACAGCAGCAGTAGGGGCTGCTGCTGCTGCTCCTGCTGCCGCCGCCGCCGCGCGGCCCCGCAAGGGGCCAAAAGCAAAAGAGGTGGTGGCAGCAGCAAAATCAGAAGCACCAAGAGAAGCAGCAGGCGTAGCAGCAACAAAAACAGGTGCAGCAGCAGTTGCAACAGCAGTAGGAACAGCTGGGCCAAATGGGGGCGGCTTTGAGTTCTGGGATGCACCCCCTGATCGATTCGTCGCTCGTGTTTCCAGCCCCTCCATCGTCGTACAACTGCAGTAGTGAGGGTTTACTGCTGCTGCGCTCCCGTTTTGCTGCTGCTGGCGGGACCCCTGCTGCAGTGCCTGCCTTCCTTGTGGTGCNCTGCTGCTGCGCTCCCGTTTTGCTGCTGCTGGCGGGACCCCTGCTGCAGTGCCTGCCTTCCTTGTGGTGCCGTCTCCGCAGTCTCACCTCAAGCTTGCTGCTGCATTGAGGACAGCGAGACTTGCTGCTGCTGCTGCAGAAGCAACAGCAGCCGCCGCCACTGCTGCGAGTGGCTTTCTGCCGCCTCAGCAGCAGCGCCGCCGCAGCAACGTCGAGGGGACATACGCTGCAGCAGCAGCTGCAGCAGCAAGAGCAGCAACCAGTGATGAGGAGAGCGAGAGGAAGCAGCAGCTGCTACAGCAGCTGGAACAAAAGAGAAAGGAGCTGCAGCAGCACATGCTCTTGCTGCAGCAGCTACACCGACAACAGAAGCAGCAGCGGGTGCTGCGCCGCCGACAGCCTCGAAAAGCGGCGCCTCCACATGCACGGGGCTCGGCAGCAGCAGCAGCAGCAAAGGATGATGAGGGGGAAGCATCTGCTGCCGAAGCAGAAGCAGAAGCAGCAGCAGAAGCAGCAGTTGCTGCTGCTGCTGATGCCATCGAGGCTGCAGCAGACTCGACAAGCTCCGAGGCCGCAGCCGCCGCTAGAGACACAACAACACCAGCAGCAACAGCAGCAGCAGCAACAGCAGGCAGCTACTGGGACACAGAGACATCGGGGGGTGGGAGCGGCAGCGATTATTGCGTTCTTTACTTCCATGGGAACGCATGCGACGCAAATATGGTCAGGGGGTGGCTACAAGTAGTCGCGGATGAGGTGCGCTGCTGTTGCTGCTGCTGATGCTGTTGCTGTTGCTCTAGCTGCTGCTGTTTTCCTTNGCGGATGAGGTGCGCTGCTGTTGCTGCTGCTGATGCTGTTGCTGTTGCTCTAGCTGCTGCTGTTTTCCTTTTGATGCTGCTGATGCTGTTGCTGTAGCGGCTGCGGTTGCTGCTGTTGCTTTTGCTTTTGGTTTTTGATGGTTGCGCACGTGGGCGCGTATAGTGTGTACACGGCTTGTGTTGCTACTGCTGCTGCTGCTGCTGCAGTTGGGCTTGCCTATATTGGTGTTTGAGTATCCTGGCTACGGCCTTCTTTCTGGGCTTTCTTCGTCTTCTGCCGGCGTCGACCGCTGCGCCAAAGTGGCGTTGGAGTTCCTCGTCGAGCAGCTTCAGTTCCCCCCGGAGAAGATCATACTATGCGGGAGGTAAACCCTAAACCCTAAAACCTAAACAACAAACCCTAAACTGGTTTACTATTGTTCCCTAGGGTTTCGTTCTAAGAGTTTAGAGTTTTTTGATCGTGGTTTAGGGTTTGTAAACCCTAACCAGTGAACCCTCATCAGCAATCCATAATCAGTAAACCCCAGCTAATCAATAACGTATATTGTATATTAATGTTTAATCAGTAAACCCAAGTAAACCCTAATAC